AAAGTCCCAGCCTAACAACAGGAATAATAAACTCATTATTCACGTTGTTAAGCATCAGTGATTGGTACAATATTCACTCTGACTTGAACCAATCGGGTTTTAAATTGGGAAAAGGCGACTATAATAACATTTAAAATTGGTAAAAAGTAAGGTAAACCATTTGACAAATGTCAAATTTTATTTATTTATTTTGAATAATCTTTGGAGTAGATAATATATACTATATTATTATACGCAAGGATGAGGTTTGCTTCTTGAGTCGCCAGACAAGTGAATAATGCGCATAATCTCGAGTGTTATACTATGCTTTATCTACTCCAATAAATAAATAAATAAATGATTTTTAAGAGTAAATGAATAAAATTTGATATCTGAGTTATTCCAAATAAAAACATCAAAAGTGTGTGCTGCAAGGTTTTTGATTTTGATAAAAAAAAAATGATGATCTTTTAGATATCAAATACGAAAAACCGCCCCTATTTTTTTTTGTTTTTTACTTTCGGGAGATACACATCTGAAATCGCAGTATGACTTGAGACATCATAAGAGGCAGACGCGCAAGCGATCGCTTCTAAAGAGTAAGGAAGTAATAAAAGCCAAGTAATGATAAATAGGTCACAGTATATTTAAGTTTGTTAGGTAATTCAGGTAAATCAAGAACCTATCTCCCGATGTCTTACAGAATCAGCAAAGCCCAATACAGTAGTGCAGTGCAATACAAGTAAATAATGTAAGAAATCGGTTACACTTCCTGTGCAGTTGAATTCAATGTACTCCCGAAAAAACAAAAAAAGGATAAAGTAAACAGTAGCAACAAAAGATGGGTTCAATAGCTTTAATTCGCATGATTTAATTTGCATTTTATTCTAAGAAAGTAATCTTGCATTTTCTCGAAGAGGTTAAGCCTCCTTAACGCATCTAAAGCGTATTATTCGGTGGATGAGTTCTTGAGTGGCTAATGTAAGATGATAATTAGAAATTTTTGTATTTATATATATTTTTAAATTTTGTATTGACTTGTCTTATATTATAGTATATGATCTTTGGACCAATAAATATTATTATTATTATTATTATTATTATTATTATTATTATTATTATTATTATTATTATTATTATTATTATTATTATTATTATTATTTTTATTTTTATTATTTTTTTTTTTTTTCATTAAGGTGCGTCGACTGCTGTGGTCATTGGCACCATAACCGGAGAGGAAAATCCTCATGGACACCCTAACATTACGCTGGGTAGTGCCGGACTCTTACCGGCTAAAAACCTCTCCTGACTAGATTTAACGAAAAGATCAATAAATAAACAGGTAAGCATGATAGGTACAATAATAAAATAAATGACATACACTAAAATGGGACTTGGTATCACAGATGTTACTTTAAATTTTATTTAAAAATCCAATTTCACTAAGGAAGTTAATAACTTGTTCAATATGAATTGAATTATATTCAACCATTTCTTTTAGTTGGACGTTGAATATACTATGGTTTATTCTTTTATGATGTAAAGAGGGACATTCGACAAGAATGTGTCTCACCGTAAGTACTTCACCACAGCCTTCACAGGTAGGTACCTCAGCACCTTCCAGAAGGTAACATTTGGTAAGATTGGTGTGACCCAACCTTAACCTTGTTATAACAACTTGTCGCTTACGGCTCAACGTAGATGTTTTGCATCCACTTACCAAGTCGGTTATATTATTTAAAAAAGTCTCCTTTTCTGCCCATTCCTCACTCCATTTTACTATAATCCTATCTTTAATATTTTTTGTAACCTGAGTCTTTTCCAATTTTAGTCGTTGAAGATCGTCCTTTTCTGCCCATTCCTCACTCCATTTTACTATAATCCTATCTTTAATATTTTTTGTAACCTGAGTCTTTTCCAATTTTAGTCGTTGAAGATCGTCCAGGTATTCAACAGTCCAGGGTGGATTATTGGGAACAAGTGAAGAGTCGCCGACCGGCATGTTTAGGTGCAATTCATCACCCATCAGTCTGTCCTTGGAAATAGATGATGTGTACCTAGGATTTCTCAAGGGTACTTCATTAATAAGATAAGGGTGGACAAAGTTGGTAATTCCCCATTTCCTGCACTTGGCAATGTAAGATAGTGCCAAAAACAATCTTCTGTTTTCCAGGGACATAATACCAGATTCTACGTGAAGACTATGAATGGGTGTTGTCGGAAAAGCTCCTACAGCATATCGTATTCCCGCATTGTGTACCACATTAAGTGGTTGTAATGTGGACTTTGGAGCGGACCCATATACAACAGATCCGTAGTCCAGCTTGGAGATAACCAGTGATTTAAACAAGGTAAGTAAAGAATCTCTATGTGCTCCCCATTTAGTATGGGCAAGACACTTGATTAAGTTAAGGGCTTTTAAGACTTTTCCCTTTAAATAATCCATATGCTTTTTCCAGGCAAGACGTTCATCCCAAATGAGGCCAAGGTATTTTAATTCTTCCACACAATTTAAGGGGTTTCCCTTTAGGGTTAGGAATGGACGGTAATGGGGAGTCCTTAAGTGGCAAAAGTGCATAGTTTTTGATTTGGAGGGGGAGAACTTGAAACCTCTATCTTCGCCCGCTCGTACAATCTGATCTATTGCCATTTGCATTTGTCTATTTATGTTTGATTTTATAGGACCAGAAATAAAAATCATGATATCATCGACGTACACACTACGCTTAACGTTAACACTTAGATTATCACAGATTTTATTTAAAGCAATGGAAAACAGAGTTACACTCAGGGTAGAACCTTGGGGCACTCCATTCTCCAGAAGACGACGCCCTGAACAGACATTTCCAAGACGAACACGAAAAAATCTTTCCTTTAGAAAGGACTCAACAAATAAAGGTAAGTTTCCACGATACCCCCACTGGTGAAGGTATTGTAGGATCCCCAATCTCCAAGTCATGTCGTAGGCCTTCTCTATGTCAAAAAAGGCAGCTGTCAGGTGGTGTCTTTTAGTAAAGGCTGCCTTAATATTATGTTCTAGATATATCATATTATCAAGGGCTGACCTACCGACACGAAATCCCGACTGGTAATGTGAAACATGATTGTTGCTTTCGAGACACCAGACAAGTCGCCTGTTAACCATAGATTCTAGAAGTTTACTTAGACATGACGTGAGGCTTATTGGTCTGTACGATCCAGGTAAGGATGGGTCCTTACCTTCTTTTAATAGAGGAAGAACTGAAGCTTCCCTCCACTGAGATGGATATAAGTTTTTGGACCAGATTTTATTGAAAGCTTTTAAAATATAATTTTTGAATTCTGGATGTGCCTGGGAACAGAAATCGTACAGCACGTTGTCTGGTCCAGGACAGCTTTTCTTTGTTCTGGCCAAAGCTACATCAAGCTCTTCCATAGTAAATGGTGCGTTATAATTTAAATTTTCGTGAGTAAAGAAATTTGGTTCTTCAACTTCCCTTTGTTCCAGGAAGTTAGGATCATAGTTTATTGAGCTGCTGACACTATGAAAGTGATCTGCAAGCCTTTCCACGATTATTTCCTGGTCGTTAATATTGACACCATCCTCTTTTAAATATGGTACACTAATAGCTTGCTTGTACCCAGACATTTTTTGTATTTTTTTCCATACAAGAGAAATAGGCGTTTCGGGGATTATGCTGGCCACATAATTTTCCCAGGAACTTCTCTTGTGTTTTAAAATCGTACATCTGGCTTTGGCTCTTGTACGTTTAAAACTAATCATGCTTTCAAGAGTTTTATGTCTTTTCCAAAAATTAAACGCTTTTTTTTTGTCCTTTATTGCATCCTTGACTTCTTCGTTCCACCAGGGGACCTGCTTCTTGGAAATATAGTGACCTTCTGAGACTGGGACTCCTTGCATCGCTGCCTCCACGAGACGGTCCGTCAGGATTTCGATCTCATCGTTTACTGGTGTATCTTCCAGATACATTGGAGTAAAAAGATTGGCTCTAAATATATCCCAGTTGGCCTGATCAGTTTTCCATTTAGTGGGAATAAAATGTCGAGTACGTACGACATTAAACTCCATTTTTATTGGAAAGTGATCGCTATCGTAAAGACTGTCTAAGGCCTTCCATTTTAGATGAGGTGCCATTGAGGCAGTACACATTGAAAGGTCAATTTGGGAAAAACTGTTGGAACGCGCATTCAGGTAAGTAGGTTGGCCATTATTTAAGAGTATCATATTTGAATGAACTAAAAAGTTTTCTACTAGGCGTCCTCGAGCATCTGTGGTTTCGGAGCCCCATAAAGGATTGTGGGCGTTAAAGTCGCCCACAAGAAGACATGGTTGAGGAATCTGAGAAACAAGATTTTCTAGGTCCATCAGTGTCCAGTCAAAACGTGGTAAGTATATATTACAAACGTACAACAAACGTGGGAAATTAATCTTAATGGCTACCGCTTGTAACGTTGTGTTAATAGGGACTCTTTCTGCTTTTATATTTTTTCTGATACCTATGGCAACTCCGCCATTCGCTCGTTGATTTACCTCAGCGTCTCGCCTAATAAACTCGTAATTCTTTAGGGAATATGGTTGACCAGGTTTCAGATGTGTTTCCTGTAGGCAAATGCAGAGAGGATCATATTTATTTATTAGGAGTTTTAAATGGCAATATCTTGTAGTTATACCATTACAATTCCATTGAAATATGTTTTCCATAAATGATGTTTTAAAAGTATATTGTAAATAAAGTAATTATAATAAATAAATATTTCAATAAATAAGTGTATAAATCGTAGTACAAACAGGTGGGTAAATAACTAAAAATATGTTCAGGTAAGTATAAAATAGACTAAAAGTAAAAATAAAATATATGTATAAATATCACAGTTGGTTATCACAGGTTAATATCAGGAATTGTTATCACAATATTAGTTTTGGGATCTGTTACGGGGTGAGAGGAGGGAGGGGGCTTGCGCTTACGTCCCTTTTGCCATCCTGGTCCCCTCTTTTTTATCTTTTCTTTTTTTGTACTTACATCGGCATCAGAATTTAAAATGGATGATTCAGTGTCTGACCCTGTCTCGGACGCTTTGCGTTTTTCGGCAACCGAATCAGTGTTGGATTGTGAATCATACTGCACACCATGTCGAGATATAGTTTTTTTGGACGGTAGGGCAAATGTTTGTGATTGCGGTCCGGAAATGCCGGCCCCGCCTGAAATAATAGAAGTAACAACCTTTGTTATTTCAGGGATTAAGGCCTTTATAATGTCCTCTATTTTGAGGTTACTGGCGGCTGATGCAGTGGTTTTGACAACATCCGAGAAGTTTTTAGGTAGGTTTATATTTTTAGACATATTGTATCGACGTTTAGCCTCAAAATAAGTTACTTTATCTAAAGTTTTAATTTTTTGTATTGCAGCTTCTTCCTGATAAACCTTACAAGACCTGGACCTCGCCGGATGGTCTCCGCTGCAGTTCACGCACTTGATTGGAAGGGTGCAGGGTGTTCCCTCATGGGAAGGTTGTCCACAAATACAAATTTGTACTTTGGACTCACATTTATCGGTAATGTGGCCAAACTTTTGACATTTAAAACATCTTAACGGGTTAGGGATATATTGTCTTACCTCTAATCTATGGAAAGCAGCATTTATTTTCTTTGGAAGGACAGGTGAGTTAAATGTTAAAATGTGGGTTGGAGTATCTATAAGTTTGCCATCTTTTTTTGTTTGGATTCGTTTGACATCTGTTACTCCCTCAACGATCAGATGCCCCTTTAGTTCTTCCACACTGCAATTTAGTAGATCACTACAGTAAATGACACCTTTACTGTAGTTTAATGTTTGATGGGTTTTGACCACCACATCAACTTCACCAAAACGCACCAAACCTTGTAATCGTTTAGCTTGCTTTTCATTTTTAGCTTCCACTAATAGACCATCTTTAATTTTTTTTATTAAACGTACCTCTCCAACTAGACCAAACAAAGTTTTTGAAATAGCAAAGGGACTTTCCTTTGAAAAGTCTCCTTCACGTTTGGAAATTATCAAGAACCGGGGAATAACCTCCTTTTCATTGATAAAATCTCCGGAGTTACCCGGGTTTTGGTTTGAAGATTTATGCGCATCTTCTGGGCTATTTTTCGTTGTTTCCACGGTTTCTTTTTTTCCCATAACGTTTGTTTGCCAGCGCATCGTGCGCATAGGGGCGGGCCGAAATAGCCAGGAACGGGTATACCCTCAGCTTCTTCTAGAAAAAGCTTACCCCAGTTCCCTGAGGCCCAGCCTTCGTTTTCCCTATCCCGGTATACTCGGACGGATAGGGCTCGCCCGAAGCAATGTGGAATCCGACTTCCACATCCAATGCGCACTTCCTGATTAGGGACCGAAGTGGCTGGTTTCAGACCTACACTGCAACTTACACCTCGGCAGAGCAAGCTCACATCAACCTTTCCCGGAAACATGGTACTCAGTACTCCCAGTGGGTTACAGTGCAGGACAATCTCGCGTGCAATCCTGTTTTATTTTGTTTTTATTATTATTATTATTATTATTATTATTATTATTATTATTATTATTATTATTATTATTATTATTATTATTATTATTATTATTATTATTATTATTATTATTAATATTATTATTATTATTATTATTATTATTATTATTATTCGTTATATAAATCGGTACAAAACATACACAGGTACCAAAACTAAACAAACAGCTGTGATACGCAATAGGTAAACATAAACAAAAAGTAAAGTACAGTCACCTAGACAACAACAATAAACTTGCAAACACACCACTATAAGTATTTACTGAAATAAAGCTAAGACTTTCCTTTACAGATAATTTTCGCATAATTCGTTATAAACAAAAAAACTATTGATAACTATAGGTAGTCACATTGCCGACTACCGAAAACTATCTATCGATGGTTCTTGACCCTAGACTGAAGAAATGGTTTCGCACAGTGGGGCAAACAATTGCGGACTACAGTGCCCGAACTTTCAGCACAGTAATTTTTAGCCGAAATGAACGCAAACGAACAGATAGTAATTCAAGACCATCAAGGATTGGTCCCAGCAGCTAACTAAACACCCAAACCCCATTCATAAACCCCAATTGAATGGGGGTAGTACTAAATACCTGGTTTAGGGGGATTCCGGATTGTACTCAGTTTTGGGTCAGTCCAATGTGCCCCAAAAACCAAAATGTTTTTCCTTCTTATACCGCACTCCACTAGCTTAAATCGGGCGTATGTCACGGCCAGGCGACAAAATTCTGGAAGGGGGCTTAATCATCGAAACTGTCATCCATGACCTCCTATGAGACATTACATTATTTACCATTATTTGCAAGTGGGAGATTTTTATGATGTTCATGTATCGCCAAAAAACAATGCTTTTACTTTTGGAGTAAAGATTGTTTAAATTTTGATCAAGCACCACTCCACGTTTCGTAGTATCATTTACAACTTTCAAACCATGGGTGATTTTAATTTATTGTAATTTTTATTATTGGCCATTTTTTAGCACTTTATTTTAGAAAAAAACGATAATTTTGAAAAATCTGTTGATTGTTAAAGAATTTTCAACCCTATTTCAGCTTTAATTTTTCAATGATTCCCACTAATTTTGACTCATTCAAAATCCTCACAATCGATTTTTTGCTACTTTATGCTCTCCAGATAGTTACGGGGGTTTAAAAGTGTTTCACATTTTTAGTAAGGCAGTGTTAAGCAGTGACGTCATTTCCATCGCCTGCTATAATTTTCTCTACGCACCAAAAATCTTCTGTATCAATATCCTCCAAAAGGATAATGATCTGAGGCTAAAGTCCCATAGCAAAAGTTTGTGTAAAATCAAACCCATTTATTTAAAAATAATTTATATTTGCCTAAAAATCACACTGACAACTCAAGGGATGTATCTTTCGAAGGCATTGTCACTTAGTGTTGTTAGTGAATCCATTAAATCATTAACATAACTGAATTACACCCGAGTCATGTAAAATGCTTCTCTTTATTTGACAAAACATGTTCTACAACGTAACGAAGTTAAAATTTTTCTGCAGGAGTTCCTAATCGGTTTAGAAATGTCCTGTCGGCAGGACGAGGGACACTTTCGAAATCCTGTGACGTTTAAACCGTGTCCAGCTGTCCTATTCAATATGCAGGAGCGTTTGTTAAGTCCACAACGATGTTCGCCAGAATTAAATGATTAACATACTTTATGACATTTCAACATACCTACAGACCTACAGGAGACTGATGACAGTTTAATTTAATTGGGAATTGTATTGTATTTGCATAAATTTAATGTGTCGTAATATATATAATAGTTGCGTACGTCTGTTGTGATCGTGTTACTTTTAAACAACTTGTGCATATGGGTGATTCTACAAAAGTTGGACACTTGATGTCATCAGTCAATAGAGTAGGTATTTTAATATTTTTTGTAAATATTTTAGTATTTTACAAAAGATCAAGGTTTTTTTAAATTCTCCCACTAATTTTAATGTATTTTTTTAAAAGCACGTTTGTAGAAAAACATAATAAATATTCAAAACATCAGTACCTTTGCGTGTCACAACTCCTAAATATTTGAGTGGTTTTATTTTAAAATATATTCAATTTATCTTAAATTTTTCAATTTCACTACAAACCATAAAACATTAAATAATGTATTTTTCATATTTTATCATAGATTCGAATAAAAGCAATTTTTAAAAAATTGATAATCTTTGTACTCACTTTTTCCCGTCAGTTTTGTGTCCAATGTTAAAATTCTAAATTCCTGCGAAATATTGAAGTTTAAACGTCAAGTCCTCGTTTTAACTCAGGTGTTGGTAAAAAATTACCTATAGAGCCCGCCCTTTGCACGACATCTTGAAAACAAGGCTGGCGGCGAAGTTGTGGTAAATGCACGTATAGTTCCAGTCAAAATTTCAGTACTGTGGTGAGTAGTTATTTTCTTACGTATACCTATATATATTTCATTGTAATTTATATAAGGCTATATGTGATATATATATTTCATTGTAATTTATATAAGGCTATATGTGATATATATTTTCTTACGTATACCTATATATATTTCATTGTAATTTATATAAGGCTATATGTGATTTGTTGATAAGTAGCATCCACTAATAAAAAATATCGGTAAAATACTTAATTACGAATTATAATCTCAAATTTGTATCCCATTCATCAGTACCGTGTCGTCAGTTCCATGTTCGATATTTCGGTTATATTTTTTTCACAAACTTCAATTTAAATTCTGCTTGCACAGAACTTGTTTATTTTATGTCATTATAAACTCATATAAATTTGGTGTGGGTCCCATATCTAATAATTGCGATATCGGTATACCCAAAATCCACCAGCCGCCACTGATGTGTGGTAATATTTGATTTTAAGATATTTAATGTGTAATATGCTCAAAGTTGCAATAAATCTTATATTTTTCAATAAATTATGTATTGAGTACCCTGGTATACTCGGCACTTCCCTTGCATTCAAATTTAGAAAACACAGATATTTCAGAAGCTGTTTGAAAAAGTGACTGGCCCGGTCTGGAATAGTTTATTTATTATATTATCTATGTTCTCATAACAAAATACTGTTTAATTTTCACTAGTAATACCACTAGAGGTCAAATTATTTCCGGAAATTTTTTCGAGCTCATGAATATTTTGAAAATTATCCCGAGTCGAAGAGGAGGGATAATTTTCTAAAAATATTCATGAGGGAGAAAAAATTTCCGGATTTAATTTGACCTCGTGTGGTATTCGGTAAGAAAATTCCACACCAAATTGTGTTTAAATAATTAAAATTTATTTTTTGATTTAACTTGACCTCGACTTGATTATTTAGTTACCATGGCAACTAAGTCAACCCCAACCTAAAAGTTATTTCAGTTTTAAAGCTGTCAAGCGGCACGACGTAAAAAAAATGTGAAATTGTCTGCTGTAATGATCAATCATCGTGCAATGACTTATTTACCCGCATTATTAGAGGATTGTGGCTCCTACTTGAAGAAAGAAAATTTGTTTTGAATTGTTCACGAATATTTGCATCTTAACTATTCAAAACTCAAAGTGCTAAATGGAAAAAAAAGGTGAATAGAATAGTGTCTAAATATTATATATATTTCATTAGATATAGACATTTAATTTATTTCAAGTCCTGCATTTTCGCCATTAAGAAGAAAGGAGGTGTCCAAAGAAAACATCTAAACTTTGTAATGGAAATGTATCAAAATTATCATGTAAACAAATAAAAACCAGATTGTCAAAAAAATATTCTGTCATTATAAACGTCAAAAAATTTCCAGTATAATTCGCTGTTGGGTACCCACGAGGAAAAAATTTCCACTAAAATTCAACCGTTGCCATGGTGATCTATTAAAAATACACGTTTTGATTGGTTAAAAATTACAGGTGTGGAATTTTCTCCGAAAACTATTTAAACAAAAAGATTTGGAGAATCACCCATTTATTAATTAATAATCCCGGTGCATTCGCCATTTTTGCAACAAATCGCCGCGCGGTATTTTTTCTTTCGTATATAACAGTTATTAAAAGTATTCCTGCGGTTTTATAGTTATTGCCGCAATAAAGAATAATAATCAGGAATAAAAGAGAATGTACCTATATAAAGAAAATTTAAAACTTTGTTTTTACTTTTAACTTTTCGAATAAAGAACAATGTCAGAGCTTAAGCATTAACGGTAAAACGTATGGTTATAATTTAGCGAGATATTAGAATTCATATTGGATGCAATATGCTGCTGGGAAAGTATGACGACGAAGGGGGAATATATATTCCTTTAACTTCACCAATCCAATAAACAATAATCATTACTGTCAAAGTTCTTCAAGTAGTTTCGAGTTCTGATAGCCATAGATCTGTTCGATTATTGCCCTGTTTCAACCCTCTGACTGATGTTATATTTCAACCTCATATTGAACTGTTTTCTGAAATGTTATTTTATATAAAATATCTATGTTTTTCGACGTACATAACATATAATTTTATTGCCTCAAAGTTACGATGGAAAACGACACATGAATTACATAGTAGATTCTGTTCCAAAGTTTTCCTATTGTAAGATATTTATCTTCAGTTCGGGTATAAACTCGTTACATTATTGTCTCATTTGTAATGTCTCTCATTATATATATTTTTTTATTTTATCCACAATCTACATATTACAAGAGCATAATAATTCTGATTTGCGACCCCTTAAAATACTCACTATTTATTTATTTGGATTTAACAATTCTCCCATCAATTCCAGTGGAGTGATTTTTGACGTTGTAATAAAAATTTAAAAAAAATTAAATCAAAATCTACTTCATTCGTTTATTTAGAATGTTTGATTAAAAAAAATTGTGCCATTTGATTTAAAAATTATTTTCTTGTAAACTATTTAAAGAAACTAACGAAAATTTGCGAGAACGGTAATAAATGCAATTAATAATTAAAAATTTAAAAACCTGCTATTGTTTTTTTTGGAGTACTTTTTATTTTATTTTATTAAAAAAATTCTAATGGATTTATTACTTTAAAAATTACTAAATTAACAATGTTGAACACGTCAGAATAAAGATAAATTCATTAATTTTTGATAGTCCATTTTTGGCAAGGTAATTATATTATAATTACCTATAATAATTAATTTAAGTAAGAAAGTATAATTTCATTAACAATACAATAAAGAAAAACTTTAAAATATAAAATTATCTAACTCAACAAACGTAGTTCTTATTTTTTTCAGTAATAATATATTTTTGACAAAAAACTGTGTCATTCGCGAAAAGTCTACACAAAATATTTTTATTAACATTTATCTTTAAATAAAAAGGGTATAATCCAATATTATTATTTTTTTTAAACCTTAAATAGTTCTTTATGTATCAAGACATTAAAGTCGTATTTTTTATCATGAATGCGAGTAATAAAAAATGGCTTTAATGCCGAGGTGCATAATAAATTTTATCCGAAATCACCATAGATGACCGAATACTAATAATTAATATTGATGATTAAATCAAATGTCATTTAATGATCAAATTAAATGTCATTTGAATGTAGGAAGTGTCTACGTATACTGTTTGTACGGTTATTATATATTTACCCACCGCGGCCATTTTTTAATTTAATTAATAAAATTAACTTATTAATTTTGTTAAACAAAATTTTATGAAAGGGTCCAATCGACCTCCGCGACGGTGCTTTTTTTTAAATATTATTTAGTTGTGGCTGAGGAGCAGTAGACACATCTTGAAATGTATAATGAGTTGCATACAATACTCGTATTAAATCGGCAGTAAAATTCTACTTTACTGCAGATATTTTTTACTTTACTGCCGATTGTTGATTACTTTACTTCCGATTTCGGATAAAAGTTTTTTTTCAATAATTGATGCACGTTTTGATAATATTTAAAAATACCTTCTATTGCTACGAACCTATAGATAATACAAAATCAGTGTTATAGGCATTAAACATATTTTATAATAGGGTCGCTTTTCAATAAGATTTTTTGGTAAAGTAACGGTTTCTTAATCTTTCTCCTATAGAACAGGGCCAAATTAGCATTTTTTTATTAAAAAAGGAAAAAAAAATAAAAGCAGGTTTTTGAAAATTTTATTGTCAATTGCATTTATTACAAGAAATTAATTTTTTAAATCAAATGCTACAGATTTCTTTAATCATTAATTGTGACTATACAAATGAAGTTTTTTCAACAAAAAAGTAGTAAGTTTCTACTACTTAGTAGATTATTAATTAATATTTATTTTTAATTTTCATGACGTCAACAATCATGGACTCACTTGGCAATTTTCTACTCAGTTCCTTTAAGAGCATCCACATTCTTGAAAAATTTCATAAAACTTGTAGGTCTTGTTCCTAGGGCAGAAGTAGAATCACCAAAAATGACCGCTTCTTTATTCAACTTGCATCTAGGATTCTTTGTCCTATATCCATTTTACTTGCCACTCAATGAAGCCCTCTGCCAAGATAATGGACTTCCACCAACCCCTGCATCTGCATCTGGTGGTTTTAAAAAAAGCCACTTTTTAGAAAAGTGTTAATACCAACACAGTGCATTTTCAATTTCCATATCGCAGGAGAAACCTCTTAGTGATGACGTGTTTAGGACGTAAATTTATATATTTCCTACATATTTCAATAGCATTAACTGAGAAGTCAGCATCCAAAATTTGTTTTCGTGTCAGGAATCCAGTAAATTCCCAATTATTATTAGATTCGTCAATTCCTTACACCATAAATGCCCATCATTGGCGTAACCTAGAAGTTGAGCTATGTTTAAGAACAACTGTATCATCAGGCACTCTTCATCTCATGCCTTGGTCAAAAAGAAGTACTTTTCAAAATTGAGATCAGCGAAATTTTGATGCTCTCATGTACTTGCAAGGTTGCCTTGATCATGGGATATGTTGTCCACAATGAGAGAGATATGCTAGCAGTACAACTGCCCTTATTGCTTTCGTGCCTCTTAACCTTCTCAATTTTTTAAATTTCTCGCTCCTTTGAAAGCAACTACGAACCAGCTTCTTGGGCATCTTTGATTATATGAAGGTATATTTTTTTTTTAACTTCTTTCATCTTGACACTTTGATTGCACTGGTAGTTTTAGAAACTTTTTTTCCTAACATGGAGTACTCCAGCTTTGTTTAACCAATTTTGGGCCGCTGATTTCAAAAATGTCATTTTTTTTCTCTATTACGTCTAGGATTTAAAAAAATTTCGTAATAAAATGTTCTGCTCAATCACTTAAAAATGTAAGTGTTTTTGTTAGTATTTTAATTATTTATTAAATTATTTTGGCTTAAATAGTTTATCTTGAATGTACTGAAGGAATTGGTATATAGCAAATAGATTATATTTGAATACGTCAATGCAGAAACTGAATATGTCCTATAGGTATACCTATCTAGTTTTGAGATAAATAAGAAAAACTGAACAGAAAGTGGACATGTTCTGGACATATTCAGTTTATCTACTATATTAACGCCTTTGTATAATCTAGATTACCGTGACATGTGAAATTTCTACGCCATTCGATCGGGCACCCTTTACTTATAGTAAATCCATGTTTAACTCAATATCCCTAAAAAGTGGACATATTCAGTTTCTGCATTGACCTATTCATTTATCTTAACAATATGACATTTTAAATACTAAAACTAAAATTTTAATGTATTTTATGTAAAAAAACAAACATTATTTTACAGTTTTTGTCGTTTATTTTAATTATTGAATTAAAAGGGCAACAAAGTAAACAACTTTCGGTATTTTTTATCCAAATTAAGCTCAAAAAATGTAATGCATTGCATAATTTTGCTTTTTTCCACCTTATTAAATCATATCAAATATCGAATTGAATAATGGTATTATTGTGCTTAATCCTTATCATCGTCGTACATATTTTGCTGCAAATTCCAGCAAATGTCTCTTAGCAATGAATCCAACCCATAGCTATCTAAAAATGCTCTAGATTTGCAGTTACTTGGTAAAATCGTTCTCCATGTTCATCAGTTCGGCAAATTTATCAGGATGAAAAAAAAGAAAATGTATTTTAAATGACATATTAACATACTAATTCTTTACAAAACGGAGAGCATTGCTTGGGCGTAAAGGTACCGCAACAGAAACAAAACAAATTTACAACGACGACATAAAGGTTCGTCTCCTTTCTCTTTCTCTGTGACTTCCATTACCACTTCCATTTCCTGCTCTTTTATTATTTTTGATTCTTAAAATCACTTTCAAGTAAAAATACAATTTAAATTTTAAATGTCAAAAATTAATAGATGCACTGTAATGTACTTAAACGATAAAGTAGGTAAAGGCGCCTTTATACTTCAATTCGATATTAAATTTTGATAAGACATAATAAATAAGATTGGAAATTGAAGTTTTGGGTACTTTAGGCATGATGTGAATAAAAAAATATAAAATAATAGTCGAAGAGTAATGTTTATACCGAAACCCATTTACCTTCTTTGTTGCCTTTTTAGTTTAATTAGTAATTAAAAAAAAACGATACAAAAATTTCAAAAAATGATACTTTTTACCAAAAAAACATAATATTAGTTTTGGTATTTAATAAAGCACTTTTCTGCAGAAAAGGGCTTTATTAAATATCCCTTATACACCGTAAATACGGGTGACTTTGCACCCCGCGGGTGACTTTAACCCATTTATGAAAAATCTTTTCGCGCTCGATAAAATTAACATTTATAATTTGTTGGTCTAAACCTGTCAATTGAGCGATTCTATTGAGTTTATATTACAGGAAAATCAGTGTTTTAAAGAAAGAAATGGGATTTATTACACTTCAAAATTGTATATATCGTATCAGTGCAAAACTCTTAGAAATACACGCGTTACAATTTCTATATTATGCGCAATCCATTGGAATGATGATCCTTGGTTAACTACAGGTCGATTTTTTATTTTTTTTTATTGGTAATCCCTTGCAATAGATATATGTCGCTGCTAACACGTGTCTAATAAAAATAAAATATAATATTACATTTATTTTATACTGAAAAAACACTGTGAGACAAAGTAACCCGCAACCAGGGGGTAACTTTGCACACCCAGTTTTTAATGTTTATTTTTGAAACTCAGCCCTATGTAATATTATAACATAGTTATTATGAAAGAGCAACTCAAGACTCAAATTTTGGTATACAAAATTTAATGATTATGATTGTTAAAACCACAACAATTTTAAGCTGAAGTTTGAAAGTGAGCCAAAGCCACCCGTGTTTACGGTACTACTATAGAATACGGCTACAATGAAACAAAAAAATGTTCTATTTGACATTTATCTACCGATGACTTTGTATGGAGTCCCTGTATATTTTTGACAAAAAACGTCAAAAATATACTGAATTTCAAAAATAGATTTAAGGCAAAATAATTTAATAAATAATCAAAATATTAACGAAAAACTTACATTTTAAGATAATTGGGCAGAGCATTTTATTACGCAATTATTTCGAATTCTAGAAGTCCTGGAGCAAATCGAGTGTCATTTTTGAAATCAGCAGCCCAAAATAAGGTCATCTATGGTATAATAGGTGGGCGTACTTAATGTTAGTAATTCGAATTATCATAGGTATACTATAGTGTTGTTTTTTGAAAACTTTTAACAATTTATTATTTGTAATCATCCATCTCACGAATCATCCTTTAATCCTGTGGTGTGCTTCAAAACAATATTTGTGTTGCTAATGTTTAAAGGGATATTATGGCAAAACAAATTAATTAGGCGATTGCGGATATAATGTAGTTATTCGGAGTATTGTCGTGAACTACGACGAAGGGGCAATCCGGCAAATACCTCGAACGTCTAAGCGGCTGCAACAGTTGCTAAGTGGCTCTAAGATTGTCGGAACTATTTGCGGAACTATAATTGCCAATATAGTGGCGAAATATCGAAAGCCTAAGCGATGGTAATTGTTTCACTTTATAGCATACATGCTATAAACACAATTATGGCCAGAAGGCGCGCCTTCCACGTTCTAATTCTTATTGGTCGTTTGCCATTGTTCTAAGATGACACATGATCTACAACTTAACTCGCGGCGACACATTCCAGTTTCCAACAATAACCCTTTCTTAATTGTTACGTGCAAGATGTCGAAAAGCCATAAACCAAGACAGCTACAAACCGAACTAATGCTGTTTATTAAGATCGCTTCTCTAACCCCTTACTACACTAATAAATTCCGAACCTATTATCTTGCCAAACATTGTCTTAACAGCCTTTAATAACAAGCTTCTTAGAAACTTTATTGATACTAATTTTAACGAGACAAAAACTTTTGAATATCTTAAATTATGACAATTGCTAACCCCCATTTATACATTTTGACTAAAAATAAGGATAGAGTGGTAAAAGGGCATCTTTACTCTTAGATTTATGGTGATTTGGGTTTCGTCCTGGTTGGCAATTGAGGGGCTCGGTGCAAGAACCGGGTATCTCCATATTCGGAAAATGTTCAGGAGACAAGAAAAAACATTGTTAAAAATTATTTTATACAATGTCATTAATTTTTATTTCTCCTGTATCTGATATATTTAGTTATAGCTAACGTGGATCTACACGGTTTTTGCACCGAACGATGCGGAATACTGAAGGGTGTATCTTCATATACCTAACTCAATTTAGCAGAAAATATGGAGATACCCGGTTCTTGCACCGAGCCCCTCAATTAGACGAAGCAGGGCCACCTTTGGCAGCAATTAGCCATAACTTGTACTAGTTTTTTAATTTTTGAACATTTTAGTTTTTTAGCTATAATTTTTTACAAGTAAATATTTGGTTGGGTTGATTTTTTATTTTTTTTTCACTGTTTTAACCATAATTTTTAACAAAGAACTTTTGTTTTTTTTTTAGTTTTTGTTTAGTTTTAAGTTTCTTACAAGGAAATATTCAGTTGGGTTGGAGTTTTAGGTTTTTAGTTGTTTTTACTGTTTGGCTATAATTTTTTTTATTTTTAGTTATAGTTTTTTAGCTTTTTAGTTTTTTGGTTGATTTTACTGTTTTAGCTATAATTTTTCAGTTTTTTTAGTTTTTGAACTATAATTTTTACAAGAAAATATTTGGTTGGGTTGGTTTTTCAGTTTTTTTTTGTTATTTTAACTGTTTTGTTTATATTTTTTTTAATTTTTAGATTTAGTTTTTTTACTTTTTAGGGTTTTGGTTGATTTTTCTATTTTAGCTATAATTTTTTAAAAGATAATGGTTTTTTAGTTTTTTAGTTTTTCTTTTCTGTTTTGGCTATAATTTTTTACATAGAAATTTTGTTTTTTTTTATGTTATTGTTTAGTTAGGAAATATTCAGTTTGGTTGTTTTTTAGTTTTTTTTACCGTTTTGGCTATAACTTTTTTTCTTTTTTTTAAGTTTTTTAGCTTTTTAGTTTTTTGGTTGATTTTACTATTTTAGCTATAATTTTTTACAAAGAGCAATACAGGAAAATAAAATTGATATTTGGAATGATTACAAAAATATAAGAAATATGATAGTTCAACAAATAAGAATTAATAAAGAAGCACATTTTAAAGAAATAATTGACAATAATAAAAACAATTCCCGAGAATTATGGAAAAACTTAAACACATTTTTACCTGGCAAACATCAAATACTCCCAAATAAAATAATATTTGACACTATAGCCCTAGAAAATGATAAAGATATTGCTGAAGCTTTTAACACCTATTTTATAGAAAGTATTAACAAAATAGTGAAAAATATACCTAAACGGCCAAATCCAAAGAAATCTACTGTGATATTTAATTGTGAGTTT